GCTACCCAAATTTTGTTTTTAGTCTTCATTGTTGTGCCACAGCATAAATATTTTGAGCTGAGTTGCAAAGCTCTTTTCCTACAAAATGAATAAACCATAAAATACAAAGAACTACACTACTCTAACTCATCCAACCATACTTTTAAAAAAAAAAAAATACATCTAAAAATTTAACAATGAAAACATTATAGAATTTTGAAAAACAAAAGAAAATAAAACGTAAATTAAATTAACATAAAATTCAAAGTAAAAAGTTGGGTTGCCTCCCAAGAAGCGCTTTATTTAACGTCTAAGCTAGACAAAATGTGCGGTCTATGGATCCCTCATATTCACGTAGTCCACCACTTCAATTGGAGGAAGGCTTTCTAAGTATGGCTTCAAGCGATGCCCATTCACTTTGAATCTTCTTCCATTCTTTAAATTCTCTATCTCCACTGCCTCATGAGGAAACACTTGATGCACTTTGAACGGTCCTAGCCACCAAGACTTCAATTTTCCTGGAAAAAGACGCAAACATGAGTCATAAAGCAATACATTCATACCTGGTTGGAATTCTTTGCATTGTATCACCTTGCCGTGGTAGAGTTTAGTTATTTCTTGTAGATTCTTTCATTCTCGTAAGCTTCATTCCTAAGCTCCTTCAACTCATTTAATTGCATCTTCCTTGTTTCTCCAACTTTATCCAAGTCAAAATTTAACCACTTAATTGCCCAATATGCTATGTGCTCCAATTCCATCGGTAGGTGACATGCCTTTCCAAAAACTAGCCTATATGGACTCATTCCAATTGGAGTTTTAAACACAGTTATGTAAGCCCACAAAGCATCGTTCAATTTCAATGTCCAATCCTTCCTAGACATGCTCACCATCCTCTCCAGAATTGCCTTTATCTGCTTATAACTCACTTCCACTTGCCTGAAGTTTGAGGAAGATAAGGAGTTGCCACTTTATGTGTAACGTTGTACTTCTTCAACAAAGCTGCAAAAGACTTATTACAAAAATGACTAACCCCCATCACTAATAATAGCTCTAGGGGTACCATACCTTGTGAAAATCATATCCTTCAAAAAACTAAGCACAACCTTACTAGCGTTAGTTTTTGTGGCAATTGCCTCAATCCATTTAGAAACATAATTACAGCAACAAGTATGTAAGTATAACCAAAAGAATTCGGGAAGGGACCCATGAAATCTATACCCCATACATCGAACAATTCCACCACCAAATTAGTGGTGAGAGGCATCTCATTCCTGTTGCTTATATTGCCTGATCTTTGGCACTTATCACACCTAGCACAAATAACATAAGCATCTTTAAACAATGTTGGCCAATAAAAACCAGATTGCAATACCTTAAGTGTTGTTTTCTTTCACCAAAGTGCCTTCCACAATGTAGCTCATGACTATGCTTTAAAACACTATGCTGCTCAATTCCTGGAACACAACGCCTTATTTTCTGATCCAGACAATGCTTGAACAAATAAGGGTCATCCCAAAAATAATGTTTCACCATGGATAAGAATCTCTTCTTTTCCTGAAAAGTCAAATCATGTCTAATAATACCACTAGCAAGATAATTAACAATATCAACATACCACGGCTCTTTTCTGTGTATGGAAAAGAGTTGTTCATTAGGAATGGTTTCCTTGAGGGGGCAATCCCCTTCTTGATATGCTCTTCATGGTCTATTGTCTCCGCAAGACGAGACAAGTGATCATCCACGACATTTTCGCTTCCCTTTTTATCCCTAATTATCAAATCAAATTCTTGCAATAATAATATCCATCTAATCAACCTAGGCTTAGCATCCTTTTTAGTCAACAGATATTTCAAAGCAACATGATCAGAATAAATAATTACTTTAGAGCCTATCAAATAAGAACGAAATTTCTCTAAAGCAAACACTACAGCCAAAAATTGTTTCTCAGTGGTGGAGTAATTTATTTGTGCATCATTTAAAGTCCGACTAGCATAATGAATAACATGATGTAGCTTACCTACACATTGTCCCAAAAATACACCTAAAGCATAGTCAGAAGCATCACACATCAACTCAAACGGAAACGACCAATCAAGTGACATAAGAATAGGAGCAGATGTTAATTTTTCTTTCAAAGTATTAAAAGCATTAAGGCACTCATCATTGAAATCAAATGTTGCTTCCTTAGCTAAGAGGTTACACAAAGGCCTACTAATTTTTGAAAAATCCTTTATAAATCTCCTATAGAAACCCGCATGACCAAAAAAACTACGCACACCTTTCATAAAAGTGGGTGGCGGCAATTTAGCAATCAAATCAATTTTAGCTTTGTCTACTTCAATACCTTTACTAGAAACTACATGTCCTAAAAAAGTTCCTTTCTTTACCATGAAATGGCTCTTCTCCCAACTCAAAGTTAAGTTTGTTTCTACGCATCTTTTCAAGACTAAGATTAAATTACTAAGGCAGTTATCAAATGAAGATCCAAACATAGAAAAATCATCTATAAATACCTCAATAAATTTTTCAATCATATCAGAAAAAATGGACATCATACACCTTTGAAATGTGGCTGGGGCATTGCATAATCAAAATGGCATCCTTCTATATGCAAAAGTTCTAAACGGACATGTGAATGTCATCTTCTCTTGATCCTGTAGAGCAATAGGAATCTGATTGTAACCTGAAAAGTCATCAAGGAAACAATAGTAAGAATGACCAGCCAATCGCTCAAGCATTTGATCAATCAAAGGAAGAGGAAAATGATCTTTTTTTTTTTTTTTTTTTTGTGGTGGCGTTCAACTTCCTATAATCGATACAAACCCTGCAACCTGTAGTCACCCTAGTTAGCACTAACTCATTATCAGAGTTTCTTACCACTATAATGCCAAACATTTTAGGTACCACATGGACTGGACTCACCCACTTACCATAGGAAATAGGATAAATAATCCCAGCATCAAGTAATATCAACACCTCAGCTCTAACCACCTCTTTCAGATGTGGATTCAATCTCCTTTAAATCTCCCTAGATGGTTTTGCTTCCTCCTCTAACAAAATCCTATGCATGCACATGGTAGGGCTAATTCCCTTGATATCAGCTATTGTCTAACCTATGGCTGCTCTATGCTCACTCAACACCCTAAGTAATTTCTTTACTTTCTCTAAGGTAAGGTCTGAAGCTATAATCACTAGAAGAGTTTGATTTTCTCCAAAATATGCATACTTAAAGGTAGATGGTAATGGCTTCAACTCAAGCTTAGGTGGCGATTCTATGGAAGAAACTAGCTTAGCATCTACTTGTTCTATAGCCATCTTTAATTCTTCATTAGACATCTCAAAAATTGTGTTATCCAACACCTCTAAGTACTACTTAGCCTCTTCATCAATAAGCTCATCATCTTCTAGTGTCAGAGCTTACTCTAATTTATCTTCCATCTCTCCCTGTAGAAAACTTGAAAAAATAATAGAATCGAAGGAATCTATAAGAAAACAATCATTAGTTTCTAAAGGTAATGATAAAGACTTGAAAACTGAAAATTCAACAGTTTGATCGAGAACTGTCATCTTTAGTTTTCCATTTTGCATATTGATGATTGTCTTTGTTGTGGCTATGAAAGGACATCCAAGCAAAATCAACAACTCACTCCTAGGGTTTGACATCATCTCCATATCTAAAACCACAAATCTGCAAGCACAATGAGTTTATCAACTTGAACTAAAATATCCTCAACAATACCTCTTGGATACTTTACTGAACAGTCGGCTAATTGCAACGTCATTTTTGTAGGCTTTAGCTCTCCCTATCTCACTGCTTATATATTGAGAATGGCATCAAGTTAATACTTGCACCTAGGTCCAACATCATTCTTTCCTTTTGTTTATTACCAACAGTGATGTTGATAATAAAACTCCCAAGATCCTTCAATTTGGGTGGCAATTTGCATTGAAGCACTACACTCACTGTCTCAGAAACCATCACCTTCCCATTAGGCTCATACTTACGCTTTTAAGTGTTCAGCTCCTTGAAAAAATTAGCATGAGTAGGCATGTTCCTAATCATATCAAGCAAGGGTAAGTTAACATTAACTTTAGACAAAATATCATAAATATCAGAAAATGACTTATCCCATTTGCTTTTATTCAATCGACTTGGAAACGGCACATGTGGAACATAAGGCTTGGGTGGAACATATGTAGAGTCAATATTTTCACTCTGAATGGATGCACTCGGTAGCTTCTCCTCAACTTTATCTTTCCCTACATGATCAATTAAACATTCATTATTTTCATAATTAATCTCCTTATTAATTACCTTACCACTTCTCAGAGTTGTGTTGGCTGGTAATTTTCCAGGTACATGTCCGTGCACTGCCTCTGCTATTTGTCCTATTTGAACCTCTAACTTCGTAATGGATGCCTTTTGTTGTTGGAATCTTTGTTCGAGTTCTGATTGCTCTTTTGAGACACTTGAATAAAGTTATTCAATGTCTCCTCCAAGGAAGGCTTCCTTTGTTGATTGTTTTTGTCAGAGCTTGTGTGTTGCTTATTGTTTCTCCAAGCAAAATTGGGATAATTCCTCCAACCAGGATTATAAGTGTTTGAAAAAGGATTATTAGGCTTTGGTTGTAGGAATTCATCACATTAGCCTGTTCTACAAACTCTGGAAAATTTTCACTAGAAGGAGAAATGTTATTTGCATGACCAAGATTACCACAAATAGCACATACCTCATTGGAACTATTTTGCCCTTGTCCCATCATCATGTTGCACATGGTCTTCATCTGCTTGGTCAACTCTAAAACTTGCATCGCCAACTCAGTGTTAGTATTTACTTCATACATTCTTTTTGATCTTCCTCTAATCCTTTTCTGCTGCAAATTGGCTCCAAGCATTTCATACAGCTCGTATGTCTCTTGTGCAGTCTTTTCTCCCATGGCACCACTTACAACATTATCAACTATGGCTTGGCAAGCCTGTGTCAGTCCATCATAGAAAAATTGATTTAACAATTCTAAAGGGTATCTATGGTGGGGACATTGGACTAAAAGCAGTTTAAAACGTTCCCAAGCCCCATGGAATGGCTCACCTTTTATTTGCGTAAAGGTAGCAATCTTACCTCTCAATTCAGTAGTCTTCACATGAGAATATAATTTACCTATAAATTTATTGTAGATTGCATCCTAGGTGGTAAGTGAAGCTGGGGTCAAAGACATGAACCATTTCTTCACTCCATCCTTTAGCGTATATGGAAAGCATCTCTTCCGCAATTGATCTTCAGACAAACTCTGCAAAGGAAAAGTTTGAACAGTTGAGTAAAAATCATGAATGAAAATTAAAGGGTCCTGTGTGGCTATTCCATGAAACGAAGGAAGCATCTGAAAATGAACGTTCTTCAACTCATAATTCCTTGCTGTAGCATTCAGGACTATGCAAGATGGGGATTTTCCTATAGTAGGACGTGTGTACTCCTTCATAGGACATGGTAATTCAGCCATTTTCTCTAATTTAGATTTAGAACTTGATTCTGAGGACTTTGTAGAAATGTCAGTTTCCTTCTTCTTCTTACCGATTAAGTCAACCCTGTCAATATAAGGAAATAATTCTTTGTCTAATGATCGATGTCCTTGCATTCAAGAACTAACACACCAAAAGAAATAAAAACAAAAAGGAACTCCAGAAAAAAAAATTAAATAACAAAAACAATAAAAATTACAGCACACGTTACCCCCGACAAATGTGCCAAAAACTTGATGAACAATTTTAATACCTCGCAAGTGCACAAATCGCTATCATAGTTTAGTGTGCAAAAGCAAGGGATCGATCCCACAGAGATTTGTAATTACTCAATTAATCCTAATATACTATGCCTTAATTAAACAAATAAAAAAAAATTAAACTAATTACTAAGGAAGCAAAATAAATTCTTAACCAACTGAATTAAATAACAAAATTAAAATTTAATTGAAAACCAACGCAAGAAAAATCAAGGTATCCGATTTCACCATAGCAATCCAATTCTCTGCTAATAACTAATTTATTGTCGTCTCAATCCAATTTCAGGGTTCAGTCTTCTATCTTTTTGATAGTACCATTTGATGTTCAAGTTTAACCAAGTATTCTTAACCATTAAACTCACTAGGATGTTTAGTAAAGCCTAACAATCAAGAACCCATTAAGAACAAGCACTCAAAATATGAACCAAATTGTATCTAGCTTGATGTTTGCCTCAACACAATCTAATCATTCAAAGAGCTATTCAAGGTTTGCATATGATGTATACCTTACCTTGTCTCAAATAATCAATTGTTTTGTAGGGAGAACGACTTACACATACCCAAGTTTTGCTGTAACGACAAATTGGTACCTAAAAGGTTTTGAAACGACAAATAGGTATCTTCTGTCATGTTATGTTAGTGATTTCTGTTTATTAATAGTGAAAAGACTAAAATGCCCTTAAAAGTTTGAATTTTAGTTTTTTATAAATTTAAAAATTTCTAAAAAACCCCCTAGGTTTACAAATTTAACTAAATAACCCAATATATAAATTTTTTGTAAAATAACAAAAACACCCCCGCCACCTGCAGTGCCAGATTTTGGCCACCACCGTCGGAATCTGGCCGGAAAGTTGCATTACGACATAGACCCGTCGGATCTGTGTCGTAACGCGTCGATCTAGCTTTTTCCGGCCAGATCCTTGGCTGATCTGGCCGGAAAAGGCCAGATCTACGGCTAGATCTGGCCGTCGACGCCGCAAAACTCCATCTACAGCGTCGACGGCTAGATCTGGTTGTAGATCTGGCCTTTTCCGACCAGATCTGTGGCAGATCTTGCCGGAAAAGGCAAGATCGGCACGTTACGACACAGATCCGACGGGTCTGTGTTGTAACGAAACTTTCCGGCCAGATTTCGGCGGTGGTGGCCGGAATCTGGCACTGCGGGTGGCGGGGGTGTTTTTGTTATTTTACAAAAATTTTATATATTGGGGTATTTTGTTAAATTTGTAAACCTAGGGGGTTTTTTAGAAATTTATAAATTTATAAAAAACTAAAATTCAAACTTTCAAGGGCATTTTAGTCTTTTCACTATTAATAAACAAAAATCACTAACAGAATATGACAGAAGGTACCTATTTGTCGTTTCAAAACCTTCTGGGTATCAACTTGTCATTATAGCAAACCTTGGGTATGCACAAGTTGTTCGGCCTTATTTTGTATTCCAAAGTTAGCATATGATGTTTACCATACTTATTTCATACAAAACATCAAGATCGAATTAAGTGCAATGAATGAAACTAGAAATATATTGAATCAATAGAACAATAAAACTAATCAAAGCATAAAACCTTCATGTTAGGTTACATCGGATCACTAGAAAAGAAATTAGTTACACATGATCATAAGGAAAACAAACCTCAACCCCTTCAAAACATGAAGTACAAGAGAAAAAGATGAAACCCTAGATAGATCTCTTCTCATTCCCTCCAATTCTTTCCAAGTTGAAGTCTCTTCTCCTTGCCTCCCTCAAAGTTTTTGTCTCCCAAAAAAAATACCTAAAGACATCTTTTATAGTGCTAGGGTTGTGGGAAAGTAATGGAAAAAATCCTATACAAAATAGGAGAACAAAATTCAGATTAATCTTAAGTAGAGTCCTTGTATAATTAGGATTCCTGTGTCTGACCCATTGGTACTGAAACAAGAATATCTTCCTCTAGAAATCTCGGAATAACGAACCGTAAAATTCTAGGTAAACTAGACTTCCAAAGCTTTACAAAAATATGTGGAAAAGCTCCCAGTTCGTTCTGAAGAATTTATGGTAGCTTGGATAAATTTCCGTTTTCTATTCGTTTCTCCTTAACAATTGCTGCTGGAAAATTGTACGCGAAAGATTTCCACTTTTTAGCATGAAAACTTTTGAATCTGACCAAGCCATAAACATATTAATTGTATCTATTTGAATCATATTTCCAATGGTCCAAGAATCATCCAAATCTGAGGTCTTTAGCTCAAGTTATCATAGCAACACTGAGGCATGTTCCAGAACCTGCGTCTGCTTGTCTTCTATGCACTGACGTAACTTTCGAATCAATTTTTAACCATCTTCTAGATTGAACTGGATCATGACCGAAACATAAAAGTTATAGAGCTATCTCTTATCTTTCAACGCCACCAGAATCAAGTCAATCGGAGTTTGTTGAATGATGTGAGAAGCGTAGGTCGGAGTAGCAGGAGTATGCAACAAGCAGTCATGTTTGGTGTGGCTGTAACGAGATGAATTAGAACACTTGGAATCCTTGCGAATATATCATGTGTGACACGAGTGCTCTATCTTCGAAAAGGCAAAATGCTATTATAGAGTCCATTGTTTTGGAATATAATACAATGTGTATCCTAACCAAATGTCATGGGGCGATAAGGGGTGCCTTCTAGTTCTTATTTAGGAGGAGCGGGAAGCAGAAGCCCTGGTTGAGCTGTCATAGGTCCATAATCGGAATAGGACTAAGCAAGAAGCAGTGCCCGGCTAGGTGATTGATCTTTTGCTTCAGTCCAATCAGCTTGGTTGAAGGTTAAGCGTAATGGAATGGAAGTTCCGTTCCTGCTCATTCATCTTAATGGCAGTGCCTTGGCCTTTTTTCTTCTAATGGAAACGAGCGGCAGATAATGGGGAAACTCGTGTTCGCATTTCGAGTTTCGAGCCGGTACCCCATTTCACTCAATCTCAAGCACTAGCAGAGAATTCCGTAATCTCTCAACCTTGGAAATCATGATTGGATTGGTGAAGGCGCTAAACCTATTCATGAAATTAGGAAACTTATGGCATATAGGTTTCAAAACTAGTTGCGGAAAGGTAGCTAAGCATCAAAAGATAGGAATATAATAGCTGATCTTTACTCCTTTGGGCGCTCTAAAGCTCCTCTTCTTGTCTTGAAGGGAATTCACGCACTCAAGCACGAAGGCATTCCAGTTCAAAAACTAATAACTAATATTCGGCTAAACCTCGTGTTCTAACCAAGTCTTACAACCAATCGTATCGTCTTGATCACTTATCAACGGGATCGGGTCATGGGTACAGAAAAGACCCTGAGTAGCTTAGCTAAAGGCATCTTCCCACCTTTTCTTCTTTCTTCGATTTCAAACCAACCTTGTAACCCACGGGGCAGTAACTAAGCTTAGTCAGTCCTCAGCTTGATGGGAAAGAGCCAAGAAGAAAGCCAGACCGGCATTACGCTTCCATTCACACCTTTTATCCTGTCTGTAGCTACGCAGAGAATCTTATTCTATCCTATCAAGGCTACTTCTTTTGAGTAATCTGTCCCTCTGTCTGTTCCCTTAAAGCTTAGGTGAGGAGAAGGGGATGTCACTGTGTCAATTCTCAAAGATGGAGGCGAAGTCGTTAACTAGTCTGACCGATCTATGAATCGAGTTTTATCCCCACTCTTACTAAATCCAGCTAGTAGCTAGTGCAGTTACTGAACTCAGGAATCCCTTCAGCTAGCAGTTTCTAAGTGGGTTTGCTAACATTGACTGATTCTCATCTTTCGTTGATAGCGTACAGTTGGTTGGACTGAGAAGCTAGTCGCATTCTTTTTCCGAGGGAGGCTTCCTCGTAGGCGAGTTCGGAAAGTCTCTTAGCCGACGGTGACCACTTCAAAAAGAACCTTTGGGCCATGCTTCCTCAATGCCTTTCCTTATTCGAAGCACAAATCCAATACCGCTGATTCAACTATGAAATTCAGTATATGAATTGAGTATCCATCCGTAGGAGATTACTTCAGTCTTGCCAAGGGTGAAGGATGGAGAAGCTAGGGCGACAGATTCACGCAAAGCGCTAAAGCCTTAGTTTAATCAACTAATTCGAAAACAGACGCAAATGCTAGGGTTGTCTTTTATTTCTCTTCACCACGATTGCCTTCTTTAAAGCGACTCTGCCAGCCAGATTCCAGTACTTCTAATTCTATTTTTCATTTATTTATTCCTAATTTTTTGAAAAGAATTTAAATTCGAATATTATGACAAGGGTATTTATGTAATTATATTTTCATAAGCAGCTTTTGAATTCCAAAAGTTACTAAACCTACTTTTGTAATTCTTTAATAAAATAGATTATTTCATAATCTACTTCTTGCATA